GGACCAGCATGAGCTGTGGATTACGTAGAGCGTAGTTGTTCATACAGGCTATGCAGACTATAGTGGTGAGCTGCCATAAAGACATAGCTCATAGAGGCCAGAATTAGGAGTTGCTTGAGCAATGGATCACACTGTAGGATCTGATTAGTGTGGCAAGATGGCATGAGGCTGTTATTTAATCCGCATCACGTGAATCTTCGGCCAGTTGTTGTGGTACTCTGCTAGCCATTCCACCCAGTGGGTCCATGGAACCAGCAAACCCATTCCAGCTACACCTACTAACCTACTCTAGCCCATCGACCTAATGCACTAGTTCAACTGTCGACTAGTTCCTCCACCGCGACAAGTCACCACCCATTGCCACAAGACGCTTTTCACCCGTCACCCATGCCAACTGTCATTGGATGTCACCCATTGTCATATACCAAGGACCACTAGTCTCAATCAACCACTAGTCATTTTTGACCAATCGTCACTGTTGATCATCAATTGTCGCCATCAATCCTTGTTTAACACCATTGCCTGCCCCCACAAGCCGCTGCTAGCCACCGCCATTAGAATATTTCAAATTTTCATATGTTTTTAAAAATTTTATTATTTTGATAATTTTTGGACAAGCAAACGACATCGCTAAAAAATTCAGGGGCAACTAATACATCATCGACAAATTTTATTGTTAGCCATAAAAGTCAAGGCGATTAACATGAATCTCAATGTATTTTTAGCAAGAAAAATTTAAACTCAAATCAAATGACATACATAACCCCAATTTTAGCAAATTTGTAGTTGAACTGACTAGCTCAACTAGATGGAACTAATGACACCAAAATTGCCCTAATCTGAGTCAAATCAAGCTTAAATCATGGAAGCTTTAGGGAGTTAAAAGATCGAATATATTCCAAATTTAATAATCTTACAGTTAAATTGAGCATCTTCGTGAGATGAATCTAAGTAGCCCAATATCACTTAGTTTCAACATCATGAAGGCACTTAAATGTTCAAAAAAATATTATTTGATTGTGAGAATCTCCTAGTCGTCTGATGGAGTGGTCTGGATTCCTTCCTAATTTATAGAGAAGACACTCCTAGACTCTATAAATAGAGTCTTGCCTCCTTTATGAAATCAAACCCAGACCTTGAACTAGAGGACCAACGACTAGAGCTAAAGCCAATCCTCAAGAAAGAGATGAATTCTAGTACGGTTTTGAATTGAAGTCCCAAAAAATGCTTCTCACTCCTGCCGAACACCCCAGAAAACCACACACCAGTCATCGTCGACCACCATTAGCCACTCCCTGCTCATTTAAATGAACCCCCTTACAATGTCTCGACGTACGATGCAGAGTAATGATGAACCGTGCAAAGTAATGACCACTGTCATGGAGTAATGAAGTATCATATGGAGCAATGCATCATTTTAAAAATGATGTAAAGATACACCTTAAATATGGTGCTGCAACGAGCATTGAATACAATCTAACTATGCTCCCTGAAGACGATGTAAGAATGCCTTCCGAACATAGTGTGACAATGCACCCCACATACAATATAATAATGCACACAAAATATGGTACAATGGCATCCCCCAAATATGGTGTAACAATGCACCTCTCAAATGATGATTTTCTCTAAACTCATGAATTTCTCTCATCGCATTTTTTCACCATGGCCTACATCACCAACTACGGCTTATGTGGTGCACAGCTCATGCAGTTCTCAACTTTGGCATATGAGCTCTACAAGCATTATTACAACTCACTATTATGGTTTAAATGGCCAACTATGACCAACATGATCAACATATTATGCAGTTCCCAACTACGTTCTTTGTGGCCTAATAATTCTACTACAACTCACCAATATGGCTTACATTATCAAATATAGCCTATGTGGTCCACAGCTCATGCAACTCACAACTCTGGTCATTGTGGCTTAAGGGCATTATTGCAGTTCACCACTACGGTCTACGTAGAGCACAACTCGTGTAACTCCCAATATCAACCCCTATTGATTGTGAACATTATCGTATTTTATTACTATGACCGACCCAACCAATTATGGCCTACATAGTCTATAGATCATGCAACTCCCAACTCTAGCCTCTGGTGTGGTATTGCAGCTCAACATTATGACCTACATGACCAACTATAGACTACGTGGTTCACATCCCAGGCTAATTCTAACTCCAATTTATGTGACCTATAGACATTACTGTTGCTCACCATAATGACCTATATGACAACATCTGACCTACAAAGTCCATAGCTCATGCAGCTCCTGACTCCGACTTATATGGCCTATGAATATTATCGCAGCTCAATTTAATGACCTATGTGGCCAATTATGGTTTATATAGTCCACAACGCATGCAGCTCCCAACTCTGGCCTCTATGACCTACAGACATTATCGTAGCTCACCATTACAACTTACGAGACCAACTACAACCTACATGGTTCACAGCAGATAGAGCTCCTAACTATAGGTTTTATGACCTTCAGACATCATAACTCAGCACTATAGCCTATATGACCAGCTATGACCTACATAGTCCACAACTCTTGCAACTGCCAACTTTAACATGTATGACCTACAAATATTATCATAGCTTACCACTACAACCTACACGTCTATGGCCTACACTGTCCACAGCTCATGTTGCTCCCAACTCCAACCCATGTGACCGACGAATGTTATCACATCTCAACACTACGACCTACATAAGCAACTACGATTTGTGTGTTTCACTGCTCATACAGCTTTTAACTTTAGCTTTTATGGCCTACAAACGTTATCACAACTCAACACTATGACCTATGTGACTAACTACAACCTATGTGGTTCATAACTCATGCAGATCCTAAATTCAACCTATGTGGCTTAGACATCATTGCAACTCACCACTGTGACTTACATGACTAACTACATCATACGTGGTCCACAATTCATGCAGCTCTCAACTCTAGCCTTTGTGGCCTATGAACATTATCACAGCTCACCACTACATCCTATGTGACCAAATATGACATATGATTTATGTGGTCTACCGATGCTCTTAAAGCAACCATCTACAGCCTACCTAACCAATACTACCGTTATTTTCAACTATGAAATCTAAAGACTAGATGACGCTACAATCACCGTCTACAACATCTATGACAAACTAATGCCTTCATAGTAATCGACTATGGCTTTTGTGGCCATTACAAATATTACTATTGAACTATTATTGTACATCTAGATTGTAATTTCATCTTATCTAATTCAAGAGGAGACTAGGTCTCTGTAGTCATAATTACAAAATGAATTATTTCAGTAGAGCCGAATCACGTGATTTTTTTCATTCATAGAGTATTCCACGTAAAAATTGAGGGGTGTCCTCCTGCTTGATATTTTATTTGTGTTATAGCTTCGTCCAAACTAAGATGCCAAATTATTACTATACCGCGATGAAAACGCAACATAAATAAAAAAAGATTTACATACATACACACATACATACCATTTAATTCTTATACATGTACATATCTAACATCTAAACTTTAATCTTTATATATACAACATTACTTAAAATAGAGATATGAAAGATTTGGGTGTTATTAAGGTAAAAAGTAGAGTTTAGGTGTTAGGTATGTAAATATATAAGAATTGTGTGGCATGTACTTAATCGCTTCACAACAAAATTTGCTTAAAATTATAATTGCACTATCCCTTTGAACATCAATACTTCTGATTAATATTGGTAACCAATAAAGCACTACTAATGCGAGGAATGATAGAAAGAAATCCACCGGAATTAGCAGAACATAATCATTTAGTTTAAGTCTGCTTAAGCGTCAATTAGCCAACTTGTATGTCCTGGGAAGTCTTTGTGGCCTAGTTGTTCTCATTACTCAAGTCTCGAAAATGAACCACATAATTTATGATTTATTGCTCAACATTTCTTAATAAAAATAATTTTCTCCAAGTATGGCTTGATTTTGCTCTAAGCCTATTGAAATGTGAGTTAAATTAAGCCCGGGTAAAACTTGACTTCAGAACATAGTTTAGCCAGAAATTCTCAAACAATGATTTGCATAAATTTATGAAAAAAGATTTTATGAATGTGCTAAAATTCTAAGACCCACGACTTGAACTTATGATTTTCCACTAAAAGTTAAATTATATTTTTTCTGATCATCGATTATAATTATGTTGTGCTTTTTAATGTAAAATTTTGCCACTATTGCTTTGTAAATATTATCATTTTGAAAATATTCTTTCGGTTTATGTTAATAAAAAATTTAATCAAAATTAACACTACTGTTGCCACTGTGTATTACGAATGTTGTTTTGATTAAGTATTTTATGTACATAGAAGTTTTAAGAGAATGTTTGTTCGTTCATGTTCGGATCGTTTTAGTTCGAAATACTACTAATCAATTATATATATATATATATTTGATGAGTAGTATTTAAAAATAGGCAGCAAAGATTTATAATTAATTAAAAGTATTAATTATGAAAATAAAATAAAAATTATTAAATTAGATTCAAATGATTTTTTAAATCTTGTCTCAATCCTTAACATCTTCTGGCTATGTCTGGCTACGTAATTAGGGTTGTCAAAACTACTATTTGCTCGTGAGCGGCTCGTGTTCGGCTCGCTAAGCAAACGAGTCGAACACGAACACACTTTTTGAGCTCGAAATATAAACGAGCAGAACAAGAGCTAAGTCTGCGCTAATGTTTGCACCCCTGCTTTCAATAAATCCAAAAATGCAGCAAACAGTAAACTACCGCTGCGCTTTTGTCAGGATTAAGCTTGCCATGTGTAAATAACAAGACTACTTTAAGTCTACAATTACTCCAAAACCCCGCAAATCATACCTCCTTCCCCAAACCGAAGGCCAACGAAACCCTAAAAACCTCTAAGCAGCAAAAGCAAAAATTTAAAAGCAGAACAGCAGAATAGATTCACCCAAACAAACAGCTTAAAATAAAATAAAATAAACAGATTTACCTCCATAAATATCCACAAAGCGAGCTAAATGGGGATCGACTCGATCAACTATCCGGTGAGAAAGCGGCTGAGGTTTCCGGCGAGCCTCTCCGACGAGATTCCCAATATCCTTGATATCACCGAAGGGTAAACGATACCTGCTTCCCCGAAGCCCCTGCGCCCTCAGCTTGCGTTCCAAACGCCGCGGCTGGAAACATAACCATGCTAACGACCATCCGACCCAACTCGCCGCCGCGGCTATCACCGCTGTGGCTGCGAACGCCAGCCAATACACGATCTCCATCTTGTTACCTACCGAGGAGGTTTAGTCAAGAAGTTTTCTGGTTTTAAGTGCTTACTGGGGGCGGATATATACTTCTTTTTTCTTGGAATATACTATCAAAAGATACTTCTTATGTCCTGATTTTGTTCTCTGTTTTTTACCGATATTGTGGCAGCCATGATGATCAAAGAAATGAAAGGAGAAACGTCCAACTACACGTCGGAAAAAAAACTTTGCTGATATAAATTTTATTCCTTTTACTCTTGATTTTTTATTTTCAATGAACCAAATAGCTGCTAATCTTCTAGGTTAATTTACAACAATAACAATAGCAGCAACAACAACAACAACAACAACAACAACAAAAAAGAGCCTTTTATCCCACTAAGTTGGGTGGGGTCAGCTACATGAATCTTTTTTCTCCATTGAGTTATATTGAATGTCATATTTTCATGTAAGTTTAATATATTAAGATCATTTTTTATACAATATGCCTAAGTCTTTCTACATCTACCTCTGCCTTTCTGAACATAAGTTGAATTTAAAATATGTACTCTCCTAATCGGATTATTAGATGGTTACATTTAATATGACTAAACCATCTAAGATGACTCTCACTAATTTAATCCGCCACAGGAATTACACGAACCTATTATGGATAAATTCATTTCGCATTTTTTCTTTAAGTGTAAAGCCACTCGTCCACGTAAGCATTCACATCTCGACAACACTTAACTTAATTTTATGCTTCTCTTTTAAATACCAACATTATGTGTCGTAGAGCATTGCAGGTCTCACCACCATCTTATAAAATTTTCCTTTCTCCCCAAGCAGAACTTTTATATCACATAATATAATTGAAGTGTTCCTCAACTTCAACCAAGTAGCTTGATTTCTTCTTATAACATCCCCATCTATATCACCATCACTTTGAACAATAGACACAAGATATCTAAAGCATTCACCCCTTTTAATAATTTGTTCACCCATGTTACAAATATGTCACTGGAGCTACTACTACTAAAATTACACTACATGTATTCAATTTTAGTTCTACTGAAACAATGGCTTTTAGACTCCATTGTAGACCTCCATAATTAATTTTTTTCTTGATCACGTTCTTTAGTCTTATCCACAAAATTTATATCATCAACGAAAAGCATACACTAAGGTACATCCTCTTGTAAATGTCTAGTAAGAGCATCCATAACTAAAGCAAAAGGATACGGGCTTAAAGTAGATCCCTGATGTAATCCAATTGAAATAAGAAAATATTTGGTCAATCTTCTTAATGTTCAGACACAAGTAACAAATTTAGTATACATATCTTTAATGACTTGATTATAAGTCATAGAAACACCTTTCTTCTCTAATACTCTCCAAAGGATGTCCCTTGAAACCTTATCATAAGCTTTTTCTAAATCAATAAAAGTCATATGTATATCCTCCTTATTTTCTCTGTACTTCTCCATCAAACCTCTGAATAAATGATATCTTCCATAGTAAACCTACCCAAGATAAATCCAAACTAATTATGAGAAATTTTTGTAATATGACTTAACCTATGTACAAGTACTTTCTCCCATAATTTTAAGTATGACAGATCAACTTAATTTCTCTATATTTTGCACACTCTTATGCATCCCCTTTATTTTTAAAAATGAGGACCAAAATACTATTCCTCCATTCCTCAGAAATTTTCTTAAAAATTTTTATAATACCATTAAAGAGTTTAGTAAGCCAAGAAACTAAAAAATCTCCTAAATATTTCCACACTTCAATTGGGATATCATCGGGTCCAAAAGAGTCTTCACCCTTAGATTTTTTTTATAGCTTCCTCAGCTTCTTTTTTACTATTGCGATGGTAAAAATGAAATATTTTATTACTATTAACAATATTAAGATTACTAAAGTTGATTGTATCTTCAAAAACTTCATTGAAAAGTTTATCAAAATTGCTCACCCACCTATGTTGAATATCTTTTTTTTAAAAAAAGCACCTTTTGATTTTCATCTTTAATACACTTTACTTGAGTTTACTTTTCTTTTCTCATTGTTTGACTAGTTTATATATATATGTATATATATCCTTACTATCTAATTTGTTCTCCCTTCTTAGTATCCAATCTATTATAAAGATCACTAAAAGCATGATTTTTTACATCATATATTATTCGCTTAAACACCCTACAAGCCATTTTATACTTTTCCCAGTTTTCTAATATCTTACATTTAAACCAATTTTTATAAGATAACTTTGTATATTTTATCTTTTTTTGAACATTGTTATTCCACCACCATCTATTTTTATTTATAAAATTTTTTTCTTTTAATTCTCGAAGTACATCTTTCGCCACATGTTTGCTAGTGTTTGTTATTTTATCCTAAATAGAATTTTCTTCTTCACGAACATGCCACATCTCAAAATCTTGAATTTTACTAATAAAAATAATTTTATTTGTGTCTCTTAGGCACCCTAATCTAATTTTATGACTATGATTCCCACTTAGAATGACCTTACAATATTTTCATTCTTGATGACCTTTTCTTATCATAAGAAAATAATCAATATGTGTTTTATTAGATCCATTTTTATAAGTAATAATATGTTTATCTCTTTTTTTAAATAAAGTATTAGTAGTAACAAAAGCATACATTAAAGCAAAATCTAATATGACTCTACCTTCTTATTTAATCGCTCCAAAACCTTAGTCACCATGAATATTTCTATAATCTTGTAATGCTCTACCGACATGTCCATTTAAATCTCCTCCAATAAAAAATTCTTTCTTTAAGAGGTATCATTTCTATTAATTCTTCTAGACCATTCCAGAATTATTCTTTGGATCCTTAATCTAAACCCATTTTAGGAGCATAAGCACTTATAATATTAAAAATCTTAGTATCAACAACAATCTAGGCTATAATTTTATCTCCAATTCTATTAATTTTACAATATTATCTTTAAAACTCTTATCTATAATTACACCTACACCATTTCTAGTGCAACTTTTACCTGAGTAACAATTTAATAACTTAGCTATCAATCTCCTTAGCCTTTTCTCCAACCCATATAGTTTCTTAAATACATAAGATATTTATCTTTCTATTAATCGTGATACCAAAAATTTTCATTAATCTACTTGAGAGAGTACCTATATACCAATATCCTACCATTATATTAGTTTCATGGAATAACTTATTTACCTCATCTGTCGGGGCGCTAGTGCAGCAGCCCTTGTACACTTTCACGTTATTCAGGTCATACAGTGTGTTACTTTGAAGAGTCGCCCTATCATTTACACAATGATTAAAAAATTTGATATCATGATCATTCGACAAAAAATATGTTTGTTTTCAACTACCTATTACATCCCTCCACTTTTCATATCTGGGGCCTGGGACCTAGTAAATTGTAAAATTTAAAGTTAGTATTTTAATAGATTTAATGAGGCCTTATTAACCTCACTTTTGTGAGAACTCATCCTACCCACTTATACATGACCTTAAACTAAGGTTGTGCATTCCTGGACCTCACCATTTCAAGCTCAAGCCCCAACCATTAGTTGAGTGGGTTTAGGTTTTTGACCTGGTGAGAAGCTAAATAAATCACCAGGGGGTAGACATGCCTAGGTGAACCTAAATTGACTACCAGGAGTTAGACATACCCCAGAACCTCCAGAACCTGAAACCCTAGAGAGTTGTTTATTTTCCCTAGATCCCCCAAATCAATCTGAAACCTTAGGAACTTGTTTTTACACCCTATGAACCACTTTAACTACCAAATCTATCATGGGAGAAGGATCTATACAAATTGATCCTTAACCTTACCAAGGACTTCATTAACTCTAACAAATCATAAAAATCAGACTAAAATCCTAATGTGACCTTTTGAATACAAACTTTGATGGTACTTAGACATGGTCAACACCAATTAGGCTTAACCCTAATTTAGCCAAAATTTGACCAAATTGACCTTTTCACCTCCTCCATCTAATCCATGACCATGCGGTCAACCCATGGACCATATGGTCAACCTTGGACCATATGGTCAACATTGGACCATATGGTTAACCCATGATCATATCATCAACTTTATCATTTTTTTAATTAATTAATTAATTAAAAGGATTGTTGTAAGGATTGTTAGGCTTTAACATAGGTTTAAACCTTAAAGCCTTAACCCACGATCCAAGTCCATGGTCCAAGCCCATGGCCCATTTCTAAATGAGTCGTCCATAACCCAAGCTTAACTCATCAGGATATATGATGACTTATACCCTAAACTATTTTACAAAAAACCAAAATTAAAAAAAAAATAAAATAATGGAGATGATATAAAGGAGATCACACCCACCCCTTTCTTCTACACTTGGCAACTAAGTTTCCCATACTCAAATCCTCTCATGTTCGGGTCAAGCCAGACCCTGGTTGAGCTCAACAACCACACCTCCAACTCTCTTCCCCACTGGAGCCCACATGGTCAAGCCTTCAAAAATTGGCAAATGACACCCCTAATTCATCCAAGAAAGCATTGCATGCTTCTGTAAACTCATAAAGGAGCTACCCACGCCTATCTCAGTTCATGTCAAGCTTCCCATGGCCATTGAAAAGAGGAACTTGAGATCTCCATAGATGACCATGCTCTCTATTTAGACTCTTTAACCTTAGCCTTCAACAGAGAAAATTTTCTCCTAGACAAAGGAATTCGATCCCCCATCTCTCCAAGCCCTTAACCCCACTTGGATTATTTTTCTAACCTTAAGCCCAGACAAAATTTTGACTTGATTGAACCTTGTCAAAATTCAAATCCAAACATCCTAAAAGCTTCCCCAAGTTGCACGAACACAATCCCAATCAAAATCAAGCCTTCTTGTGCACTCAAACCAATCCCAAGATAAACTGAGCCACCATTTAGCCTAGCTCATAGCTAGATCTAATTTCAATCCAAATTGAGTTAAGGAGAAGCTTTATAGGGTCAAAGCGATCATTTATATCAAGTCACATCAAGGCTACACCTCTTGGGATAAGGCATGGATCAAAAACC